TTTCTTTTTCTATTGCTCTTGTTTTTCTGTCTTTCTCTTATTTTGTCTTTGCTTGTACTTTTTTTACTTTGCATTTTGCGAAACACAAAGAAAAACATCGAGCGCGCGTTGCTAAGGAGGTGAAATTTCACTTCCGGTCATTTACGTCAGCCTGAGCGCGAAAAATAAAAACAACTCAAAAACTTGCAAATTCGCATCCATTTTTATTTTTTTCTGTGTGTTTCGCAAAATGCAACGTATAAAAAGTACAGGCAAAGACAAAATAAGAGAAAGACAGAAAAACAAGAGCAATAGAAACAGAAAAACTAACTCTGTGTGGCTTTGTTTGATCTTACCGAAGTGCGCTAATAATGTAAATTGCGCACGCGCTGATAGGGTAACTTCCAATAGATATCGGGCGCACTTCCGGTTTCTTTGAATGCTAAAGGTAACGCGGTTTTTTGTTAAATCCAGCCTTTTTCGACGAATTTCGATTAAAGCCAACGTTGGCAACATAGCTATGCATTCCTTTTTCGAATTCATGCTTTTTTCAGNATGAAAAAAATCCCGAGAAAGTACTTTGCCTGGGAGCCTTTGCATTTTTTCTGTATTAGTCACATGACCATGGGCGTGACCTGATGACGTCATCACTAGCGTTACTGATCATGAAAAAGTTGAAACACATGAAATAACTCTGAACTAACTAAAAATGATGAGGTTATATGAGACTAAATTTTCCTTAGCAACGGCTCGAAAAGATCGGTTAATGGGCCCTTAAGAACGGTGCCTACTTTTGTTGGTGCGCACACGTTCTGCGCATCACGCAAGGCATGGTTTAAGCGCCATGCGCGCGCTGGATTGACATTGACGCAATCAACTAGCTACCAAGTACACGACAAAAATGAAAGCAAAATTTTCCTACTCTGAACAAATCAAGTTTAATGAACCTGTACTTAAACCAGGAACACCAGAATAGCAGCAAATCGCTAACCACTAACTGTTAACGTCTTCTAGCTGAAAAGCTAGCTGTTGACTGTCGAAAATTCTACTGAAATCCAACTGTAAACATGTACCTACAGATGGCGTAGTGCGCGCGCAAAACAAGTGTGAGATACGCAAATGTTTTACTTACTGGGGAGGTGACAGGAAAAAATGTAACGGACACCGTAAAAATTTTCAAAAAACATCAATAACTTTAAAAAACGCGTGGTTACCCCTACATTTTATGTTATGAAATGGAAGTGGCAAGCCTATTAGACGCGTGATTAGTTTCTGGTTGTGAGTAAAAGGCATTTAGACTGTATTTAAGCTGAACCAGAGGAAGGCTGTCAGAGACGACAAAAGCGCTGTTGCAACGATTTTGTTATTAAAAACATACCAAAAAAGGTTTTTATGTTACTATTTACCATGAAGTTTTACGATCTTTATAAATGTGTTTCCTTTTCTGTGTGTATTGGCGAATTCTAAGGAAATCTGTGCAGAAATATCTTTTCCTTCTTTTTTTTTAGAAAAATGCTGATGTCAGCATTTTTGTTGAGATTCAAGGCTCATTATCTCGAAAAAAATGCCTGGCTGCCCCAATTTTTCTTTGTGGATTCCAGTAGCCCTTGCAAAGATCTACTTTTTCTGCATGTTCCTAACTTGGCGCAAAAACCTTTGTATTTGTAGGCACCGTCCTTAATAGCTTCCTGTAAATGTTCCCTACAGTTTTTAAAACTTATTTAAAGCGCTACTGACTTTTTGGCTCAAAATAAGTTCTCGAAAGACTTTTTTAATTCCGCAATTTGTGACAAATACGTTTAATTAGTAACTAGACTTCGTGTCCTACAATTCAGGGAGTAATCGTGCTCGAAATTTCAACTCGGTCTCGCGTTTCGCACTCGTCCGATTTTGAAATTTCTCGAGCGATTACTTCCTGTTTTTTTCTCCAATCACTCCAATTACCATTACTTATCATTTGCTGTGTATGGGCGCCCTGGGAGGTTCGATGGCCTATTATTAAGGGTGTTAAACCGCGGATCAAGTGGCATGGGCTCAAGGTTTTGTCTGGATAACGATGCTGTGTTGTACCTTACACTGCCAGTACCGCTCTCCACCCAGCTGCACAGCAAACTCTTAAGGTAAACTGACGAAATGGACTGATGAGGGAAGAGCGATAACTTGAACTAAAAAATACATCGGGAATAACCATGCTCCTGGTTGATTCAAGCTACTCACACTGGTGCAAACTAACTCTTTGTTGGCCACTTCGGCTCTAGAGAGTGTATTACCAGTTACTAGCTTTATTGGTCAGCTCTTTGCCTATTCAGTAACTAAATTTGAAAATATATCAGCAGTCTGGATTAAACAATGATAATTTATTTCCATTCCTTTTCAGAGAACTTTTCATTATGACGAGGTCTTCTGGAGTAATAAGAAGGCATTCAACTTTCCTGGAGGGAAGACTGGGTTTGATTCACAGGAAGTCAAGTTACCAACCTACTGGAGATCATCTTTCTCCAAGATCTGTCTCGGTATGAAGATCGGCCAACGTATCAGCTTCGTTGTCATCAACAAAACGGCCAACTCTCTGCACTCGCTGATCGCTGACGGGCAATACCGCGACACCTCACTAGGCCGTGATACGTGGAAGACACTGATTGGTTCAGAGGCCTCTTTGCAGGTCAGCTGTAACAAGGAAGGGTTCAACGTCATGAGTTCCTCTAGTCATCTAGCTAAAGCAAGGATTGGTATCCTTGGTAACAACGAAGATGGCTGTGAATCATATGATTCCAGAATCGGGTTTGGAACAGGAGGAGATTCCGACGACAACAACACATGTGGAAATGAAGCAAGAGTCTACGCAGATAATGGAGACAAACACATCAAAGTCATGGGATATATTTTGATTCAGTAACACTCCCAAGCACAAGTGTTTCTTCTTACTTTTTGTTTAATGACAAATGTATTGCCAAAAAGTGTACTTCTCTTATAAGCGATTGTAAAGCTGGAGATTGTAACCCTGTAATGGATGGAAGACGCTGAATGTTTGACGCTGTTATTTAAATAATTCATCCATGAGTTAAAAGTTACCATGCTTCCTTCAACAGTGCATAGTTTAACTACCTACTCTACTTTAGTATAAATCTACTAGCGTTCTATCACGAATGCCGTTCTTTGATTGGCTACGCTACTCACTATCTGTTCTGTGACAGATAGTGAGTAGTGTAGCAGTGTACCCTTGTTAACAAAACGACGGCCGCTTCTTGGCGTTTTCGGAGTGTCTGTGAAGTGAACTTAGATAAGTTTTCAACGACTAGTAGATTTATAGCAAAACAATTGGATTATTCGCTCTCAATTTCTGTGCGTGATAGTTTCACGCGATGGAAATCGAGAGCGAATGATGTAATTGCTTAATATAAACACATGATTAACCCACAATTTCCTCATTTACTCGGACGAAGGGCTAACACTCAAAACGTCCGCTTCAGGACTTCGTTACGGCCCTTGATTTATCTTTGTCAACTCAAGTTGGTAAAGATAAATGAAATTATTATTATTATTATTATTATTGACAAATATCTGAGTGTTTCATTTGCCCACCGCGCAGGCCAACAGCTTCTTTAGAAACTTAGATCTTTGTCTAGTCCAGAGGTTGTTTTTCTTCGAACTTTGCCTGATCATATTTGGCAAGAAATTGATAGAAGTAATCGCACGGGCAAGACAGGGAAAATGATAGTATGCCCTTTTGAGCTGGTATTCTTATTCCAACAAAAGGCAAGATAGAAATTTCCTCTGTCTAGATTTAAATAGGTGACCTGAGCGCATCACTTTTGTAGCTTTACTTTTAAAGTACGAGCAGCCTTCTCTTTTTTAGTCCATCACATTTGACGCGAAAGAACGCGCGAGAAGAGGCAGCTCTCTCTCCCCTGTAAGGCCATCATTCCAATGAGCCACTTTCGATATATTAAAATTCAGCTTGATAGTGAGGCCTAGAGGACACAAACAAAAGAAATGAATAAACATTGTCATTCAATTTCCTTTGTTTGTGTCCTCTAAGCCTCGCTGGCACGCTGAATTTTAATATATCGAAAGTGGTCTATTTCGAGTTGTTTCGTGTCACGCTCGACAGGAGGTGCCCAAAGTCTACTATTCGTCACGCGGGGGGCTCTTGTGTCAAATTAGAGGACGAATATAAGATAATCTTACCTGTCGAGTGATGACCATTTTGAATTTTAATACCTGATCATCTGGTGTGAGGTCTGGAACCGAAACATGTTTGGCAACCACTCGAAATTTTTATAGCATGGTCTTTATTATATTCGGTGGATGATAAATCCCCGTGCTTGTTTTCGAAATAAGGCGCGTTGAAGACCATGCGTTTTCAGAAGCTTTTGTTACTTTTTTTAAGTTTTAATAATGTTTATTGGGAATATAACTGACAGTATATACCTAAATTAGGGGGAAAAAATGTAAATAAAAGAGAAGACGATCTAAGACGATCAGTAAAAGAGACCAAAAGAAGTTATATCAGTGAAATTTATATCAGGTAAACGTACTCAATTTAACACAACTAAGTATATTTATTTAGGGAAACGCCATAGGGTCGACCTCTAGTTTTCCTTTTTAAGATGTGCTTTTTCTTGTATTTCATTTTCATCATCTTGAATAAAACACGTTTTCATCATGTCATCTTGTTGTCATACTAAGTAAACTTTTGCAGCTGATGTCGTTCCTTGACATAGGTCTTGAAAAAGAACACATATTAGCCTTGTCCGTCCACATTCGAAGAAAACTTCGGTCACACGAGAGCAGAAAAGGCGAAAACGTACAGATATGTTTCTGTTTTTCTCAAAATTTAGCCATGGAAAGAAAAGAGGGGGTCATTGACTATTTAAGAGAATAAATTGCAAGCGAAGATAGAGCACCTGGTGCCAAGCCCTATACTTGCTTTTTTACTTAGTGCCTTTCCAAACTACATCGCACTTTTCCTGCTCTTGGTTACAGCAGAAGTTTTTATACAAGAAAGGAATAAAAAAAATTAAACTCTCCCGCCACTCAGTGCCAACACGTTCGAGGTCAAACTTTTGCAGGTCTTCCTTTCTCGTCTCTCTTAGCAACGAGGGGTTTGTTTTAGAACACAACCACCCTGTTACTTCCTAGTTCCCTGTGTTCTTTTGTATGAACTAATGTTAAATTGAGACAGTTTGGAAACTGAGTTAAAAACTGGCAGGACATCTCCAACATGTACTGTTCCAATTCAGTTCAAATTTTAAAGAAATATAGAGTCAAATGATGCGAAAAACTTTCACGTGTTCGTTTTCGCTATGAAAAAGTAGATCAGCGAAGTGCGCAACGAATCTTGAAATTTGCCCCGCGAATATTTTGTTGCGACAAGGTTTATGTTTTAGAGAAATCCCCTTTTAAAGATTACCTTTTTCAGAGATTCCCCCGTTAGAGTTTACCTTTTTAAAGATTCCCTATTTTAGCGATTCCCCCTCTTAGAAAATCTCCGTTCTCCGTGTTGGCGATAGCAATTGACATATTATCTAGAAAGGAAAACAGTAGTCTCCGATCCCAGCACCCGTTACTTGAAAGTTCTGTCCATCTTACAACTTGACACCGAGGTTACAAAAAAAGGATTTCAGGCACAAATGTTGCAGAAACCTCTGGTACTTGGCAGACCAGTCTTTGTGCAAATCGATTGATAACGAAATTATGTTGTCGAAGTAAGTGGACATCTGCATTGTTATGATCAGTGCAAAAAGAATGGTTGTACAAAATTGTCCATCGATGATGAAAACAAGGCCAATAATTGGCTTCAAATTATGATTTAGTTAATTAAACAATGAACTATCGTAGGCAACTGAACAGTGCCAATTTTGTGCTCTAAATGGCAGGAAAACAGATCTCTGCAATTGTAGGATTTCAGGTTTTTTCCGGGAGTATGCTCCGGATCCCCAGAGGTTGACAAGACCCTTCAGGCCTGATGTATTTTCTTTCCTTATATTGAAACCCCTGATTTGGCTCATCAAGCAGCGCTCCTCCACTCCCTTTCACATTGTTTAATGACTCAACAATCAGTTCAGTTTAAATATTGCTACTAAGGATTGGACAATTTGAAAACCCATGAAGGTTCTACCAATACAGTCACTGTGGTAACGAAAGAGATCCCTAATTAAAAGAAAACCATGTTTGAAGTTAGTAAACAGAATATCTCCTAAATTCTGCTGAGAAATTTCTTTTAAATTTTGATGTTATGTAGGAAGGCAAGAGGCTTCAGAAAAACTAAAAGAACATCTCACGAGAACAGCAGGCTCGCATCAGGAAAAATTGATTTTCCTTAATAACCTTTATTGCTTTCGTGTTATTTTGAGTATACTACATTTTCTCAGAGATTGTTGCCCTCTTATAATGTAAGAAGAGAACGTGGACGAATTCCATTTCAGTGTAACTACGTTAGCGGCAGCAACCATGTGCTCGTCAGGTAATATTATTTAGGTCATGATATTATTGTTCCGTCATTACATTATGGGTTATAAATGCTCGCTAAGAGCCTCTGTAACAAATGGAGAAGAACAACGACATCTAGAAATAAAATCTGTGATGATGGCCATCAGAAAGAGTTCAGATGGTGCACTGGATAGAGTTGATTTGTACAGAGTTCGTAGAGTGAGACAATCCCTATACGTTTACTGCAGTAGAGGACCAAGGCGCGTACGGTTTAATCACTACCTTACAATTCTTTTTCCACTATGTGTATCTAAGAGCACTTCAGGATTCATAGGTTTAATAAAACATTATGAATAAAATCTTTTTTATTTTACAATTAACCACAGCATATGATTATTCTATTATCCCACCATAATAAAAAGAAACTGGCTTCTTTCTGCAATTCCGTCCCTTAGAGTGCTTAGAATTCTATCAATTTGATTCGTTCTTTCGAAGTCCTTGTTCTGTGGATTTTTTTTTCACGTCACTTGGACTAACCAAACATAAGACAAGTTCCTTGTAGTGATCAGCTACGAAGGGTTGGAATCGTAAAAACTCAACACTTTTCGTTCAAAAGTTTCAAAATGTACTTTATAAACATCTGCGCTTTAACACCATTTTCTTCCAGCATCGATGACCCCATCACATTTTGTCGTGGGTTAAAGAACGATGGAACAAACTGATTCGAAAGCCAATCATTACATTTCATGAATATGTCCTTCACTATTTTTGGGTCAGGTTCTTCACACAGTGCGAAATCAGAAGCGCTTTCTGACCGTTGAGGATAATGACTGAATTCACGAAAGACGGTTTCCACTCCATCTTTCCTTGCTTTTTCCTCTATGGAGTGGAAGAAAGCCATTTTTAGTATATATGATGGCAACACACCTTCGACTTTTTCGTACAATTCAAAGTCTTCGTCGGAAGACAAACTGTCATGTTGACTTGCGTATTGCATCTTCGCGTCTCCGTAGTCCTCAAAGCTAACAAGGGGGCAGACAGTGGAGCTGATCAGCGACTTAGCAGCTATGTAGCTGTTTCGAATTCGATGTCGACATCTCTTCATAATAGCAGTCTCGACAAGACATAGAGAACACCTCCAAAGAAACTCATCTTGACTCGCCATTTTTGGGACAGCGAGACAGGGAAGCTGCAAAAGATCGGAAACGAGGAGTGGAGACTGCATTCCAAATTTATCTGGCCAAGATGGAAGGCGCACGGCGGGGACAAAATCAACTTCGATCACCAGAGTTTTATATCTAGATCCTTTCCACAACAGGGAAAACTTAGGGTCGTTGGTGACCTCCTTTATTTCCAAACGTTCATCTTGTGGGAAGCTTTCACCAAAAACGATATTGGATAGTTGCTGGGTGAATACATTAAACATCATGTAACTTGGAATCGCTTTCCAATTCGGTTCAAGGTCTTGTGTAAACTCTGAGTACTCATAGCTCGTGTGATCTTTCAGAAGGATTTGAGTGTAATTTGACACTGATGATGAAGTTTCTTTATAATCTACCCCTTTCTTCAATACCTCTTTTACTTGGTCACTTGTTTCTCTATCTGGAACAAAAAGGACGCTTTCGAGAACGTCCTCAGTTTCATGTTTTGGATAAATGTTTTCACTCAGTTCTTCAAAGCAGACGACATAGTCAAACTCATCTGGAAATTTTGTCTTGGTTTCTTCTGATGAACTTCCCGCGTGGTAAAGAGTACAGCGCATTTTCGGATGACTGTCTGTTATACAGTTTACAACATTAAACGCGAATCTGTCTACAACATCCCGGATTTCTCCTGCTTCGGGATCCTTGATAACTGTCCCTATGCCCGGGGTGGAAATTAAGCAGCTTAAAAATTCGTTCAAAGTCCCCGACATTCGTAATGATTCCTCACTAGAATCGACGATGTCCTGAAAGGTTTTAAGCTGTAACAACTCACCACCATGTTTTGCCAACGATTTCTTTCGCTGTTCTAATTCAAGTTTATAGTTTTCATCTTTTTCATGCATTATCTGCAGAAAATCGAGACTGGACCAAAATTTCGCCACCTCTTCTGCTGTTTGTCCACATGCATCGCGGAGTGCAACATCACATCCTGCTCTGATTAAAAGATGTGCAACAGGAGCCTTGTTTGTGAATGCCGCAAAATGGAGTGGTGTGGACTGATACTTGTCTTGTGCGTTGATATTTGCCCCTAGTGTGATTAGACAATTGCAGATGACGTCCCACCCCTTCTCTGCTGCAATATGTAGTGGTTGTCTGCCTGCAGAGTCTTTCACGTTCACGTCTGCTCCGCACTCAACCAAAGCCTTAACAAGTTTCTTTCTATTCTTCTCGATAGCATGATGCAAGACTGTCTGTCCCCATATATCGGCACAATTGATATTGAGTCCCGTGTCCAATAAGAAGTTTAAAATATCAATGTCGTCATCTAACTCTCGTTCTACAACACAATGTAGCAAGCTGCGTTTTTGACCGTCTTGGGCAGTGGGTCTACATCCTTTCTGTACAAGATATTCCAAAACTTGCAATGGTGCACCAGCAAGTATTGCCAAATGCAAGATGGTTTGACCAATGACATTCTTGGAATTAGCTTCATTGTCATTAGTAACTAGAAGGTCGAAGATTTCTAAGAGCAACTTGATATCATCTTCTGAATATGGTCTGCACTTGTCGATGAGACGATGAATTGGATTCATTCCCTGCAGATCTAAATCTGTCGCAGACGCTCCAGCTGTTATTAAGATGTTCACCGTGTTTGTTTTCTCAAGGTGATAATTCATGACAGCCAGATGTAATGGCGACCTACCCTGGGAATCTTTTGAATTTACATTCGCTCCCATTTCAATCAGTTTTTGAGTTAGCTTTTCGTCATAGGGCTTTGCCATAAATGACGAACAGAGTGTGTGAAGTGGGGTCTCTCCCTCGGCATTGGTACATTGAACATCGGCACCGACTGACAAGAAAAATGCTACAAGCTCTTGTCTTCCCTTCCTTATGGCTGTTTGCAATGGGGAGTTTCCACGTTCATCATGGGCATTGAGGGTTGCCTTAGCTTTTAACAGTAATTGGGCAGACTTTACATCCCGAACCATATGCAAAGGGCTACCTTTTCCATTGACGTTCGCACCATTTTGTAACAAGATTTCTACACATTTTGCGTGCCCTCGTTCTACAGCATGGTGGAGAGCTGTGAGGCCGTTATCGTCCTCTTCATTGATTTCAATTCCGCTGTTGATCAGGTCAATAAGCTCAGTCTCATTCCCCTCTCTGGCTAAGCGATGGAAGATGGGAGAAACTGAGAAGAAATCAGCCTCCACTACTTGCTCCATGAATTGACCCAGCTGTGCAAATGGCCTGTAGGTGTCGGTTGCTCTGCGGTCACCCATAACCTAGAATAAAGTGTTACCATTAATAATACAATGGCAAGCAAACGAAATCTAACAAAGGAAAAACTTCTGTTAAGGCTAAAACTAGTTAAGCTAATTTGCATTCCTAAAATTTCTTTCATTTTAAACCCATTCTTGGTGGTCACGTTGTTCACAATGGATGTGATACACTGTTTTATGTTTTGTCCTTAACATGTACTAATTGGGATCTGAGAGAATTGAAGGGCACATGAACAAGTGTGACCTCGTGTGATTTTAATAAATGCTCCCCGAAGTGCTCTTTACGTATAGAAGTAAAGCATCTATTCTCTTTTTGTTACGAGACCTCTTTAAGACCTTTATTTTAAAACACCTCTTGTTGGTTTTAACGGTCGATCATAATCTCTGGTCCGCACTACATCATCAACAGTGAAGATGGCAAAAAAAATAAGGAGCAGAAACTCCTAGAAAGAGCATCACAAGGTCACACTCTTTTTAGATACTATGACTTTAATTTAGCTAGTATCTATGACACTATTTTAGTTATTTTACACCTTCCCCCAAGATCCTAATGGACATGATATAACCCTTTAAATTTCACATTTTTGCTGCGGCTGATGACGTTCAGTTGGGCTGAATGAAATATTCCGATTTTCACCTTTTTTTGCGCTCTGAGTGCAGTCAGTACAGGAAATTACTTTGTACTTTTGTTGTAAAGCATAGCGTGACAGATCAATTTCAGAATAGCTTTGATCAAATAATTACAACCGGAAATATGATCTTTGTACAGATCTTTCCTTTGCTGTTAAAGTATCCTACATGTACTACGTGTCGCGTAAATATAAAATAGAGTTTGACTCTAATCTACCCTCGGCCGTGATTCTACTACAGTTGTGGCAGGGGAGGGATAATATAAACTTCACGTCTTCGCAGTGTTCGAGGTTTAGAAACGTAGCCACAAGGATCAGGGAGTTCGGCAAACCTTGAAGATAAGCGAAGACCGAAGACCGAAACCTCCTCGAAAACGAAGACCCCCTAGAAAACGAAGACCTCCTAGAAAACGAAGACCTCCTGGAAAACGAAGACCCCCTAGAAAAAGAAGACCCCCCTAGAAAACGAAGACCCCCTAGAAAACGAAGACCCCCTAGAAAAAGAAGACCCCCTAGAAACAGAAGACCTCCTAGAAAACGAAGACCTCGAAAAACGAAGACCCCCTAGAAAACAAAGACCTCCTAGAAAACGAAGACCCCTTAGAAAACGAAGACCCCCTAGAAAACGAAGACCTCGAAAAACGAAGACCCCTTAGAAAACAAAGACCTCGTAGAAAACGAAGACCCCTTAGAAAACGAAGACCCCCTAGAAAACGAAGACCCCTAGAAAACGAAGACCTCGAAAACGAAGACCCCCTCGAAATTCTATCAGTGAGGCGAAAGATCGATGACACAACGCTTCGTTCGGTCACGTACTGACAATGTTAAATTGAACTTAGCAGAAATTCAGATGAAATATAACTGATCTTTGCCCTGTGGAAACAGCCAAATAGGGAAGGGGGGTCATCCCGAGTTTCCCAACCAATGCTAGGGGGTCTTCGTTTTCGTGGGGGTCTTTGCTTTCGAGGGGTCCTCGGTTTTCGCTCTCTAGACACCCAGAATACAGCTGCCAAGAATCAACAGCAACCACCAAAGGGAAGCGAACCAAAACAAAATGTTTGGCGACTGATACCGAATGCGGGTAACGCGAGTGATCTTCTGTTCGGGCTTTGTTTTAAATGCCATAAATAGGGCCATTTTATGGCAGATTGTAAACAAACGTCTACGGGGTCGGGAAGCAAAGCAACGCGTAATCGAGGCTGCGGGTCGAGCATCGATCGGGAAACTCGGAATGACGCCAAAAATTAAAGAAAATATCAAGACTGCTGTTGGAACTCATAGTGTTTCTTGTGACAGTGCTGGTTATGTATCTGGTCGTGTTGGGGGGCAACCTGTTGACATGTTGGTTGATACTGGTTCAGCATTGACGCTTATACACTGTCGTCTGTTTGAAAAAGCAAAAACTGATTTCAAATTGGGCATGGTTAGTGAAACAGCGGTATCCGCAAATGGCCAACCATTAGACATTAAGAGAAAACGCGAGTTTTTCTTGGTGGGGCGAGTGTTGTTCACCCAGTGTTAGTGAGCGCAGACGTGACGCAAGAATGTTTGCTTGGGATAAATTTCCTGTGCAAGAATAATACCACAATTGAAATGGGAAATCAATTAAAATTGCCAAAGAAGTTGTGGGCCTCAAGGATAAAAATGAATTGTCAAAAGTTTTTCTAATATGTTTCAGAGACTGTTGTGGTCCCCGGTCGTCATGAAATGATATTACCGCCTAAGTTTAAGGAGTCTGTGTGTGGTGATGGTGTACTAGGAATAGTTGAGCCATCTCCGGGTTTAGCCGAACAACATGATCTCTTGTTGGCCCGAGTGGCACAAGCTCCAGTGACTCTCTATCAGACCACCTCTGTTGGTACCTTTCAGTGAAGACAAGGAGGCAGACAAAGCCATTGGTGTCAGAACATTTCGACCTGGGCACCATGAACTTGACTAGCATGTAGACGAAATAACTCGCCAGCCTCTTGGACAAGTTCATGGATATCTTCTCATCGGGCCCACGAGACCTTGGATGGACAAGTATTGTGCAGCACCATATTGATACTGGAGATCACCCTGGTATTAAGCAAACACCAATACACTAACAGGGGACAGTACGCGAACATGTACACAACATGACAGGTCCTTGGGCCACAGTCCTTGGGCCACACTGATTGTTCTGGTCAAGAAAAAAGAAAACAAAAAAGGAAAAATAGTGGCTATTGGCGGGTCGAGGTAGACGTTGCTGACCATAAGAAGACAGCATTCATGACCCGCCAAGGTCTCTTCAAATTCCAGGTAATGCCTTTTATCTCTGCAATGCTCTAAGAACCTTCTAGAGACTTCGTCCTAACTGGGGTACGGTGGTAGACATGTCTGGTCTACCTGGACGATGCCATTGTGTATAGTCAAGAGTTTGACGAGCACTTAGGAGACTATTTCACGAAATGGAAACAGGTGTTTGCTATTCCGAACCAGGAAGCAAAGACTGTTGTGGAGAAGCTGGTAAAAGAAGTCATTTCCAGGTATGGAGCACCAGAAAAGATCCATTCAGACCAGGGCCGGAACTTTGAAGCCCAGCTACTCCAGGAAATGTGTGTCTTGTTCAACATGGACAAGACCAGAACCTCTCCATACCACCCAGAAAGTTATAGAATGGTTGAGCGAATGAACCATATTTTGCAAGACATTTTGGCCAAGTATGTGTCCAATCATCAGTATGACTGCCAGGAGCACCTACCGCAGGTGATGATGGCCTACCGTTCCAGTGTACACACATCCCCATGAGTTATGATTGCCAGTTGATGTCATGCTTGGACAACAACCAAGCCACCAGAACGAAGTTTCAGAGTATGAAAGGAACTTGCGCGACACCCTAGAAGTCCAGAAGCATGCCAGGGAGCAGCTCCAAGCTGCCCAGAAACATCAGAAGGACCACTACGGTCAGCAAACTGCTAAAGAGCAAATCGAGGTTGGCGATCGCGTTTTGCTTCGTGACCCAGTAGTAAAGAAAGGGCATTCAAAGAAGCTCTAGTCACCATGACAAGGTCTTTACATATTAGACTAGGATTGGTGATGTGACCTATCGTATCCAGGCAGAAGACATCCCCACGAAGAGGAAAGTGGCGCATTTCAACCCCATGAAACTCTGTGGTGTGCCTAACCCGGTGGATCATCAGAACAGCCCTAATCAGACTGCTAGTGCAGAGCCTAACACTCCAGGGCAAAGACCGCATGTTCCACTCCGTATGTTCATGATGAAAGTGATTTCATGTACATGGATGAAGCAGCTCTGAATGCCCTGAATGTTTCCAGGAACGGCATCTGCAGTAAATAGTAGACGGACCTAGATGCGAAGTTAGACCGTCAACATGGATGAGAGACTTGATCGGTGGTTTTCTTAGTTTATTGATTTAAGCTCAAGACACTTTGTGTAAGCCTTTGTTGTTAAAGTATCCGTGGAAATATTCCTCCTATGCGACGTGTGGAATATAAAATATAGGACCATATAAGTAGTATAGCACAGCGATATACACACACTAACCAATGAGAAAGCCCCATTTAGCACACGTGACACATATAGACCAATCACAACACTCGGATTTTACACGTGACTTTTAATAGAGAACAACGGACTACGTCACAACTTCTCATAATCTATTTCCTGAAAGTGTTAACTGGAAAAAGTAAATAGAGGGATTATACCTCAACTGTAGGATAAACCAACAACCGAAATAGAATCCCTAGATTTACTTACCAATTACAACATTACAACTTTCTCATAATCTATTTCCCATAAGTGCGTAACAACTTCCAACGCTATCAACCGTAAGTCTGTAGCGCAACCAAACACTGTGCTGCAGACTTACGGTCAACAGAGGTCTGGAAGAGGAATTCATTAGTGTTCACAGTACTTTCTTGACTTTATTTCCTAAAAGTGTTCACAGTCTCACAAACGGAACTCCAGTCGAGTTTGCCACGGCTTCGACAATCCTACTTGGGTTGACCACGGCGGCTTCGATGATGACAGTCGATGTTGTTGGAGGTGGACTGACTGCTCGTGGAGGGGTGTCTGTTGGTGTTGTTTGTGGTGATCGTGGTGATCGTGGTGATGATTGGTTACTGTCTTCATCAGGTGGAGGATCCATGTCAAATGGATTTTCGTCTTGTCCAATAATTACTGTGTGAGGAGGGGGGATGATTAAGGGTTCCCCACGTGTGTCTGATGCTCTTCCGTCGTCTGTGTAAAAGGATGCTCTTGCTGATATTGATCCAAAGGACAAAAGAACTGGAGTTGGAACGAGTCTGGAGCGACGTGGACTTGTGAATAAACTTCGATTTGCTTCTTGAAGCGCTTGGAATATGTTTCGGTCTGTTACTGAACCTGTGTAGGGGGCGTCTTCAGGATATGGAGTGGTGCTGTAGTTTCGAGTGATCAGGATATCTTGTACACTCACATCATTCTCTCTGGCTTGATTAGGATCCGTTACAAAGGCGAATCGATACTTTACGAAACTTAGACATAATTCTAGAGTTGAAGGAATCATTCTTTCGAGTATCTTGTAAACTGCGATTCTATAATTATAAACCCAAAATACTTGACCTATTACATTGGCATGAATGTAAATACCATGAAAAGGAGAATTGTGATCTCTTTGTGTCAATATGAAACTTTTCATTTTTTCTAAGAATTCATTAAAAACTTCAGAAGAAATATTATGTGGAAATGCTCTCCAACTTAAACTTCTTCTTGTGTGTATGATACTTGCTCTTCTTGAGATCAGGAATAAGTTGATGGCTGTTATGCTGTCATTGCGTCGAGCACGTAGGGTTAATTCTTCTAGGTTTAGTGAATTGTCACGGTTTCGCCGACCAACGACTCTTGAACGACGTCGGGTACTTGAAGGTATTGTGCGACAGTTTCCACACATTCTTGTTTCGTTCTTTGATCTGAGGTGACATGACTTGTGTAAATATTTTCCACAGCATGTTTGCCGTTTACAGTCTAAAATTTCAGTTTTCAGAATGTCTTCTAAACAAATGAAGCAGCGATCTAATTCTTCTTCTTCGGGTGGAATATTGAGTTGTCTCAGGCTACGTCTTACTTGTGACATGTTTGTGGTGGAGTTTGAGAGTATTTTGATTTTGAGTGGTTTTTTTATATGGTTTGTTTGTATCGTTTCTAAAAATAAAAATTACAAAAAGGGGGGATGGGGGGTATCCCCCTGAATGAATGTTTTAAAAAATTGTTTACGTTTTTGGTTCGTCGAGTTCTCATTGGTTGTTTGAGGAACGAGACGCATATGTAATGGCTCCTCCTAGAGCACGTTCAGAGATCATGGCTGACTATTTTCGTTTTCAACAATTACTGGATGACGAGGAAGCACGTTTTGGATACAAGTTGAAGAGAATCGGTTATGTGAGGGAAAAGTTTAAAGAGAACGATAAGATGTTGGCTAATCTACGAGTGAGGGAGAGTAATTTTTTGAAAGCATTGGGATCTATTGACAGGATCAGACGTTCTTTGATCAGAATCTACGATGCAATAACGAAGCATGATGAGGATTATGCGACCAACGATGATGGAGAAATCAATCGACCAGATGATTGGGTTCAGAGGGGAATTCACATACGATGTACAGCGGAGAACAATTTAGACAACATTGATTACCACATCAAAAGACTTTATTTGATTTAACATGTTAAAGTGTGAAAATTATATGTCGTATAACCATCTCCAGAAAGCGTGACACTCTTGAACTGAACAGTGACCTTTTTTGCTATTTTTTCTACAAAGACAATTATGAAAACCGCAACTTTTAATCTTAGGTATCATGGCTAAGTGATCATATTTAGGACAACTGATTAATTCTAAATTAAAACTTGGAATGTTCAGTTCGTCGAGGATGTCTTTTTCGACTCGTCCTCCTTTGTATGCAATCAATGTTCTTTTTCCCGTACAGTATTTGGAATAAAGTCTCTGTATTACGTCACGTACTTTGTCTTGACTTAATGCTTCTTCTTCAGGGTCTGGTTCCTACGGGAGACCACAAACGTTCCTGTTCACGTGTCTGACTGTTTTTCTGTCTTGAATCCAAAGGTTCCTGTAGGGTATGCCAGTGTCGAAGGCTATCCTCCCGTAGTTACAGTCGTGTGTACAGTATCCAAGTTCTCGTACATAAAATGTTCCTTTAAGTGAATTTCCTTTTAAATTGTAACCATCTAAGTCTAATATGAAACAAACTTGTTCTCTTACTTTTTGTTTTTGCATGATGTTTGGGAGCTCTACTCACTTGTTGCGTCCTTAATTCGGGTCTGATCGGTTGTGACTGGCACGGTACTTGATGGGTCCACCTTTTTGTACGCATGGTGGAGGATAGCGCTCGGCGCCTGGGTCTGGTATTTGCGTGAACACCCTGAGGTCATCTCCCTCAGGACAACTTCGGTCAACCCTCTTTACCATGTAGTCCTCGTTGTTCATTCGCACTTTTTTCCAGTAGGCTGCTGTTTGAGGGTCTTTGATATCTGTTAATCGCATGTCGATGTCTTGCTGTGGGGTCGGTTTGAACTCTTTCAGTGGTTGTTTTCCTCTCCAAACGGACTTCTTATCCTCAACAGTAACTTCTTTCTCTGGGTCTTCGACCTTTCTTTGAGGTTTTGGTTTTTCCGCTTCTTCATTTATCCACCTTGCCATTTTATCAGATGGATTTTTATCGGCCCAATTGAAGAAGTCACACTTCTTCTTACGGCAGCCAAAGTACATTCGACCTGGATTCTTCTCGGATTTGGATATCTTGAGGATGAGGGGGTTTCTGCAGAAGCACTTATTTTTATACTCAAGGTTTTTCAGCCAGAATTGTGCTACTTGCTTTTCAAATTGCTCTTGGTAGTTTGCTACTTTGTCAGCTCCACAACACACGAGGCAGTCCTTTTGAGGACACCTATAGTACTCCCAGGGACCATAGCGGGTTTCAATAATGTTGAACTCCAACAGATAGGTTGGATGCTTGGGACATATGTACACCCGTGTACGCTCGTCTAGCTCTTCCATTTCTGCTTGCATTCTTTGGTTTAAATCTGCCATGTAGACTTCGGGATTGAACTCAAGGGGGACTTCCTCCACAGTCACCGAAGGATTGATGATGTAATTCGATACAGGTTTGACACTCGTGGATGGGTCTGCTGTTTCCTGTGTGATGGCAGGTTCTGTTTGGTCTGCGAAAAAAAGTGTTCCAAGGATAAATATTATGTTTTTGAAATGTTCTTTCGATATGATCCTTTTTATGTTGTTTCATATTTTCTTTTCGGGCTGGATAACTTTTTTTTGTCTTTTTTCTCGATTGGATTATTTGTTGTGCACATTCAGTGTTTGTTCTGTGACATGCGTAAATCCATCCTTCAGTGATCAGTTGAATCCCGATCAGGTATTTTTCCTCTTTCTTACACAGTTTTCCGTTTTTTTTGTTGATTTTCTTTTTCTTTGGAGGAGGAATTGGTCTTACTTGAAATCTGCTTGTAGGTTGTAGCCATTTTGTTATGTTACTTTGCTCACCTTCTTTGGATACTTTTGACTTGGGTTGTTTTTCTGTGCTGAGCTTTTTTCTCTTTCGCTTGGAAGACTCAAATGGTTGTACGTGTTTTGAAGACATCTGTAGACTGTTGGTCTTATCGTCTTCTTCGTATTCTTCCAATTTCACCATGTTTTGAATGGACTCCATGTCTGCAATGAAAGAAGAGTGAAAATGTTGAACATGATTAAGCTTTTTTATAATAATGAGTATCCAATCAGCAATGAGATTTATATTCTGACCATTCACAACACTTCATGACCAAATATGGAAATCGAGTATACACCAATCAGAACGAATCTTTTCTCTATATAAGAGATGAGCTTTTTTCTTTTCGTTACACTTGGAAAAATTTTGACAGTGAAGTCTGAAAAAAAAAATGTCTAACAGTGAGACACCAGTGAAGACTGAAGAGAAGACTAAAGAGAAGACCCTCGAGGACTATCATGTCTTTTGCAAACTTGCAGCCTTCCAATTGTACTTGGGAAGTGCAAGGGATAACCTACGAGCTCTTCAAAGGTTGAAGAGAAACGAAGACAAGATGTATCACCTAGAGTTTGGTGTGGCCTCTCCTATCTATCACTTTCTACAGAGGCAGTTGTCTGAGTGGGGTAAGGACGGTCATCACTTGGTACCGTCGAAAGACGATATCGAAAAGTTTGGACCCACTCTACTCTTCAACAAACAGCAGGTGAATGAAAGAGAACTGAATGACTACAATGGAAATAAATTCCCAATTCACAAGAGCCGAGAGTTGAAGAAAGAAGACCTGAATGATATTGAAGAGGATTTGGATAAGTGGGTTTGTGATTTCAAGGAGAAGCTTGACAAGCATAAGGCAACGCAGTTCAGAGACGAACAGCACCGTCGGTTTAACTTGGAGTTTGGTTTGGTGTCGGGTTTGTACTATCGATTGCAGCGTCACTTGATCGACTGGGGCATACGTTCTCACCATCCTGATCTGGATTCAGTGGCTACCTATTATGATTCGATAGGTGCAAAGTTCAATGATGAACCGATACGAGAAAACAATGTGTTGTCAGTGGAAACTTATGAGGTGACCCGTGAAGAGGAAGAAGAGGCAATAGAGGCAGAGGCAAAGGAAGAAGAAGCAAAGAAAGATGAGGTTTGTCAACAACCCTTTCTGTTATCCAAGACGGTGGATGAAGATGAGAACCTTCAGTGCATTCCCATGTGACTAGCACGTGATCACCAGGCTCGACCAATCACTGGCATTAGACTCAATCTACCAATCCACTCTGTTATGACTTGTAATATATTAGATTCATTTGACGGTAAATCTCAGTCTTGTCCTATCTACTCTTCAGTGACACTAGTCGGAGTTGCACGTTAGATTTCAGTTTTGCATTATGTCTTGTTTTGCTAACAGCGTGAAGAACTGTGAGGGTGATGTTATCCTGTACACCAATAGTAATCAGATTTATGACTTGGTCAAGGATTACGTTGAGATTGCAGTGCATCCGATGATTGGGAGTTTGGAGGGACCAGACAAGGGTGATCTGTTCATCTTTGACTTTTTGCACAAACATTTTGCTGATGATTTCAAGATGAAAGTGCAGATTTGGAGGAAATGAGACCTTCATGGAAAGGTACCGTCATCCCCTTCATCCTACAACAGCATCAACCTGGTGGAAATCCTAATGGTTTGTTCTTTTTTGATACCATGTGGCACGATGTGAGCTACGACATTGAAACGAATACCATCCATTTCACTAAATCTGCTTACGAACCAACAGAAATCGGTAGAGGGGATATCTTGTTTGCCACACAGCCTCTTGTTTGGAATAGCAAAAATGCCATTGAAGAGCTTCTCACACCAGCTCGTCGAGCTCATCACATCTCGACCAATGTGACTCACAGGATTTCCAATCAGAGCAACAACTGGGTATTCAAGTTACCTACACCCTGTACCGATTATGAACTTGGTGTCTCTATTGAGAACACTTTCGTCTCATTGTTTCAGAACATTGAAACGTGGAAAGACCGTTTTTTTTTACCCGAAGGAGTGAGGACGAAAGCTTGTGTGTTGAGTGTGAGGAGAGTTTGAGAAAAGCTTTGTATTGTAGTGACTATGATGAAGCCTTAAAATGGCGTCCCAAATGTGAAAATGGCAGAAAACAATGTAAATATTTTCAATCTGATGTTTTTGACGTTGAAGATGCTACGGTTACACTTAATTTTTTGATCAGAGGTGGATTGTAAATACGAATGTTTGTTTGATTAAAGTCATTTAACAACATGGGTTCATTCTTGTCTCATTACTCTCGTGAGGATTGGAATGATACGTGTGATAAATGTAGAAGAATTCTTCTTGAATGCAAAGAAGATGAATTCAAACTTGTACCAAATGAGTACAGTTGTGACCCCGTTTATGAGTTTGAGGAACTGAGACCTTTGGAGGGTAGCGTTTTCAGGTTCATCGTCTTTTGTCTTTGGCTAGAAAAGCAACCGTTGTCCTATTATCAGTGCCAAAGAATCATAGCAGCTCATCCTTACGCTTGGAAAATTTCCGTCTTTCGTGTGAATTTCTGTACACCATGAAGTCCAAGAAAAAATCCATTTCCTTAGCTCAGGTGCAACGTTTGTACAGGGATCCAACGAAACCCGGTAGTTTAGGTGGGTTGAGTCGTTTTGCAAAAGCCAACAAGATTTCTGTATCTTTGGCTCGAAAAGCTTTGGAAGCAGATTTGGGGTACACGTTACATAAACCTAGACGTCGTCACTTTGAAACTTCACCGGTGATGGTATTTAGTATCGATCAACAGTGGGCAGCAGATTTGGTAGAAGTTACTAACATTTCCAGGTACAATAAAGGAACGAAGTACCTCCTGACTGTGATTGACGTGTTTTCGAAATTTGCTTGGGTGGAACCCCTTAAATCCAAGACGGGTCAAGTTGTGACAGAGGGTTTCAAGAAAATATTGAAAAGAAGTAAGGGGAGAAAACCTCTCAATTTACAAACGGACGNAAGGGGGACTTCCTCCACAGTCACCGAAGGATTGATGATGTAATTCGATACAGGTTTGACACTCGTGGATGGGTCTGCTGTTTCCTGTGTGATGGCAGGTTCTGTTTGGTCTGCGAAAAAAAGTGTTCCAAGGATAAATATTATGTTTTTGAAATGTTCTTTCGATATGATCCTTTTTATGTTGTTTCATATTTTCTTTTCGGGCTGGATAACTTTTTTTTGTCTTTTTTCTCGATTGGATTATTTGTTGTGCACATTCAGTGTTTGTTCTGTGACATGCGTAAATCCATCCTTCAGTGATCAGTTGAATCCCGATCAGGTATTTTTCCTCTTTCTTACACAGTTTTCCGTTTTTTTTGTTGATTTTCTTTTTCTTTGGAGGAGGAATTGGTCTTACTTGAAATCTGCTTGTAGGTTGTAGCCATTTTGTTATGTTACTTTGCTCACCTTCTTTGGATACTTTTGACTTGGGTTGTTTTTCTGTGCTGAGCTTTTTTCTCTTTCGCTTGGAAGACTCAAATGGTTGTACGTGTTTTGAAGACATCTGTAGACTGTTGGTCTTATCGTCTTCTTCGTATTCTTCCAATTTCACCATGTTTTGAATGGACTCCATGTCTGCAATGAAAGAAGAGTGAAAATGTTGAACATGATTAAGCTTTTTTATAATAATGAGTATCCAATCAGCAATGAGATTTATATTCTGACCATTCACAACACTTCATGACCAAATATGGAAATCGAGTATACACCAATCAGAACGAATCTTTTCTCTATATAAGAGATGAGCTTTTTTCTTTTCGTTACACTTGGAAAAATTTTGACAGTGAAGTCTGAAAAAAAAAATGTCTAACAGTGAGACACCAGTGAAGACTGAAGAGAAGACTAAAGAGAAGACCCTCGAGGACTATCATGTCTTTTGCAAACTTGCAGCCTTCCAATTGTACTTGGGAAGTGCAAGGGATAACCTACGAGCTCTTCAAAGGTTGAAGAGAAACGAAGACAAGATGTATCACCTAGAGTTTGGTGTGGCCTCTCCTATCTATCACTTTCTACAGAGGCAGTTGTCTGAGTGGGGTAAGGACGGTCATCACTTGGTACCGTCGAAAGACGATATCGAAAAGTTTGGACCCACTCTACTCTTCAACAAACAGCAGGTGAATGAAAGAGAACTGAATGACTACAATGGAAATAAATTCCCAATTCACAAGAGCCGAGAGTTGAAGAAAGAAGACCTGAATGATATTGAAGAGGATTTGGATAAGTGGGTTTGTGATTTCAAGGAGAAGCTTGACAAGCATAAGGCAACGCAGTTCAGAGACGAACAGCACCGTCGGTTTAACTTGGAGTTTGGTTTGGTGTCGGGTTTGTACTATCGATTGCAGCGTCACTTGATCGACTGGGGCATACGTTCTCACCATCCTGATCTGGATTCAGTGGCTACCTATTATGATTCGATAGGTGCAAAGTTCAATGATGAACCGATACGAGAAAACAATGTGTTGTCAGTGGAAACTTATGAGGTGACCCGTGAAGAGGAAGAAGAGGCAATAGAGGCAGAGGCAAAGGAAGAAGAAGCAAAGAAAGATGAGGTTTGTCAACAACCCTTTCTGTTATCCAAGACGGTGGATGAAGATGAGAACCTTCAGTGCATTCCCATGTGACTAGCACGTGATCACCAGGCTCGACCAATCACTGGCATTAGACTCAATCTACCAATCCACTCTGTTATGACTTGTAATATATTAGATTCATTTGACGGTAAATCTCAGTCTTGTCCTATCTACTCTTCAGTGACACTAGTCGGAGTTGCACGTTAGATTTCAGTTTTGCATTATGTCTTGTTTTGCTAACAGCGTGAAGAACTGTGAGGGTGATGTTATCCTGTACACCAATAGTAATCAGATTTATGACTTGGTCAAGGATTACGTTGAGATTGCAGTGCATCCGATGATTGGGAGTTTGGAGGGACCAGACAAGGGTGATCTGTTCATCTTTGACTTTTTGCACAAACATTTTGCTGATGATTTCAAGATGAAAGTGCAGATTTGGAGGAAATGAGACCTTCATGGAAAGGTACCGTCATCCCCTTCATCCTACAACAGCATCAACCTGGTGGAAATCCTAATGGTTTGTTCTTTTTTGATACCATGTGGCACGATGTGAGCTACGACATTGAAACGAATACCATCCATTTCACTAAATCTGCTTACGAACCAACAGAAATCGGTAGAGGGGATATCTTGTTTGCCACACAGCCTCTTGTTTGGAATAGCAAAAATGCCATTGAAGAGCTTCTCACACCAGCTCGTCGAGCTCATCACATCTCGACCAATGTGACTCACAGGATTTCCAATCAGAGCAACAACTGGGTATTCAAGTTACCTACACCCTGTACCGATTATGAACTTGGTGTCTCTATTGAGAACACTTTCGTCTCATTGTTTCAGAACATTGAAACGTGGAAAGACCGTTTTTTTTTACCCGAAGGAGTGAGGACGAAAGCTTGTGTGTTGAGTGTGAGGAGAGTTTGAGAAAAGCTTTGTATTGTAGTGACTATGATGAAGCCTTAAAATGGCGTCCCAAATGTGAAAATGGCAGAAAACAATGTAAATATTTTCAATCTGATGTTTTTGACGTTGAAGATGCTACGGTTACACTTAATTTTTTGATCAGAGGTGGATTGTAAATACGAATGTTTGTTTGATTAAAGTCATTTAACAACATGGGTTCATTCTTGTCTCATTACTCTCGTGAGGATTGGAATGATACGTGTGATAAATGTAGAAGAATTCTTCTTGAATGCAAAGAAGATGAATTCAAACTTGTACCAAATGAGTACAGTTGTGACCCCGTTTATGAGTTTGAGGAACTGAGACCTTTGGAGGGTAGCGTTTTCAGGTTCATCGTCTTTTGTCTTTGGCTAGAAAAGCAACCGTTGTCCTATTATCAGTGCCAAAGAATCATAGCAGCTCATCCTTACGCTTGGAAAATTTCCGTCTTTCGTGTGAATTTCTGTACACCATGAAGTCCAAGAAAAAATCCATTTCCTTAGCTCAGGTGCAACGTTTGTACAGGGATCCAACGAAACCCGGTAGTTTAGGTGGGTTGAGTCGTTTTGCAAAAGCCAACAAGATTTCTGTATCTTTGGCTCGAAAAGCTTTGGAAGCAGATTTGGGGTACACGTTACATAAACCTAGACGTCGTCACTTTGAAACTTCACCGGTGATGGTATTTAGTATCGATCAACAGTGGGCAGCAGATTTGGTAGAAGTTACTAACATTTCCAGGTACAATAAAGGAACGAAGTACCTCCTGACTGTGATTGACGTGTTTTCGAAATTTGCTTGGGTGGAACCCCTTAAATCCAAGACGGGTCAAGTTGTGACAGAGGGTTTCAAGAAAATATTGAAAAGAAGTAAGGGGAGAAAACCTCTCAATTTACAAACGGACGACGGTAAGGAATTTTACAACAAGACGTTTCAGACCTTCTTGAAGCAAAAGAACATTCACCACTTTTCTACCAGTGGGGATACAAAGGCAGCTGTGGCTGAGCGTTTCAATCGAACTTTGAAAGAACGATTGTACCGTTACTTTACGGTGAAGAACAGTCTTTCGTTTCTCGACGTCTTACAGAAATTAGTAAGTGGTTACAACGCTTCGAACCACAGGAGCATTAAGATGGCCCCCAAGAAAGTGTCGAACAAGAACGAATTGGAAGTGTGGAACAATTTGTACCAAAATCGATTGAGTTCTAAGAAAAGAAAGAGTAAGTTCAAGAAAAACGACAAAGTACGATTGAACAAAAAGCATCGTCCTTTCAAGAAAGGTTATCTCCCTGGATGGACCGAGGAGGTGTTTATCGTCACTCGAGTGAATCGTGGAGTTGTACCTACTTACAAATTGAAAGAATGGGACGGTGAACCCTTGGAGGGTACTTTTTACGAAGAGGATTTACAGAAAGTCAATGTGTCCAATGACGACTTGTTTAGAGTGGAGAAAGTCATCAAGCAAAAGGGTACCAACGTCCTCGTGCGGTGGAAAGGTTGGCCTGCTAAATACGACAGCTGGATTCCTAAGAAGTCAGTCTATGTAAAGGTGTGAATACAATCAGAGTTTTTCATTTGAAGCAAGTATGGAGACAAGTGGGGCAACAAGCGACGACTTTTACCTCACGTTGTTGAGTAATTCTTCGACTCTCGAATTTCCCAGTAACAAGGCGAACAGTTTTCAAAACAGATTACCTCGTCAGATCAATCTGGAAGGACGATGGAAAGCGGGACTCAGTAGTGTTTCGTTACCTGATTCTAGTTTGTTTCACCTCAAATTGAATCCTGACGAACAGGATTTGTTCAGAATAGGCTATTTGGTGACTTCCACGACTGCACCCTCTGGTGCTGTACCTTCTACTCTTAGACACAGTCTTTACAGTCACGCAAAACTGCAAGAGTTGTCTCCAGACGTGAATGGAGTGGAGTTCATGAAATCGGTGACCAATTTTTTTGACGAAGATAGAATTGATGGTCTGGTGGGAGCAGACAATGAAAAGTTTTCTCAAACTAACTCACAAAATCAAGAGGAATCACTTTTCTGGAAGTTCAAGTGGGAAGGAGACGAATTGGTCACAGATAACGAAAATATATACCGAGGAGACCGCTCTTCTTCGAGAGCGGTTCACCCCTACTTTTACATAGAAAAAGACTTGGCCAAAAAAATGGGGTGGATAACAACGGACTCTCGTAGCGTGTATCACCTAGGACCCAACTTGAAGCAAGAACTCTTCGACCCTTACTTGGTTCCGAATCTTCAGGACTCACGTGATCCAGGCGATCTTTAGGAAAATAACTCCAACTCTCCTAATTATCGTCAAGTTGTTTTTTTCACGGGAGATGACAGTTACTATGGACCAGAGGATCACGGTAACATGATGAGACTTAGTTTCAGGTGTAACTGGCGATTCATCAATTTGAATGCAGCTTTCAACAATGCCGTGGGAAGTAGTTCTCGTTCCCTCATGATATACAGTGACGTTGCTAGTAGTTCCTTCGTGGGAAACCAAGTGACCGATTTGTTTCGAGAGTTTAGTTATCAAAGAGTTGGAAAAGGCATTCAATACTTTGAACCGGTTCACATCCACTACGTTCCACTTCGAAAACACACGCTCGAGATTATAAAAGTGGAGGTGAGTGAAGTCGATGGTCAATTGGTTCAACTTGGAGCTGGAAACACAACCGTCACGATTCATCTAGTCAAGCAATGAAAGGTTCTGGATTGACAAGGTTTCATCCCGATCAGGTACAAAAGGGAAGTGGATTCATACAAGATTTTACCAAAGCGGCTGCCTTAGAAGGATGGAAAGGTTTAAAAACGGGTGGATTTCCTTTCGTACCTAACATACCCGGTGCTGTTCGTGGTGTGAAGACAGGAGTTAGAAAAGCTGCAAAACGAAAAGCTGCAAAACGAAAAGCTGACAATTTTGCTGACCGTACTCATAAAAGAGTCAAAAGGAAAATCAAAGACATCTTTGGACCATGAACACCCCATTTCTTCCTCCGATGAATCCCATTTATTCCCGAAGAGTTCTCAGGGTTCCACCTATCATGACTTATGGTAAAAGAGGATCTCAACGAGGTGGAGCCATGAAACGAAACAAACGACGATTGGTGGACAAGATCGCCGAAGGAGCTAGCATGTTTTTGTCTGGTCCTGCACCGTCCTTTGCTTCGTTGGGTTTGAAATTGGGTGGTCAAGCATTCAAAGGAATTAACGATAACTACAAGTATTATAAAGGAAGACAACGAGGTGGTGGATTATCACACCGTAGGAAACGTCGAACAGTGAAGACAAAAGCTAAGAAAGGGCGAAAACGAAGAAGATAGATCATGTCCGACATTGCGCCTCACGCAGGTTCGGCAACAGTGTCGAATCCGTCACTGAATCTCTTTACGATTCCACCGACGGATCTTAGTGTTTACAGTAAGCGATACGTACAAATCAATCCGTTCACCACTGGAATTAATCCAGTGACGTTTCAGATCGATCCTCAGGAAGACTACATCGACTTTACCCAGAGTTACTTTGAGTTTGAGGTGGGTTTCAAGAAAGCTAATGGAGGAAATTTGGTGGCTGCCGAGAATGCGTTTCCAGTGAACAACTTGTCTCATTCCATGATCAAGCAGATGAACGTCCGATTGAATCAAACCTTGATAAGCGAACAATCGGACACGTATTCGTACAAAGCTTACATCGAGACTTTACTTCACCACGATCGACAGGATGGTGAAACAGTCCTGACTCCCGAGGGGTGGCAAAACTACGTGGATGTCCCTCCACTATACACAGCAAACAACTTGGATAATGCTACACCCGATGCAGCTTGGACTGCTTTACCTGAGAATCAAAAGACAAGCATCACCAAAGCACGAGGTGAACGAGCCAAATATGTAGGAGGCAAGAAAAACATCATGAGATTCAAACCTCACTCGGAACTATTCAATTTGAACAAGCTGATTATAACAGGCATACAGATTGACTTGCAGATTTACTTCAACAATCCCGAATTCTACTGGAATTCTGTTGGAGGTATAGCAACAAGATTGGCTGAAGCCGACATCAAAGTGCGCTTGGTTCTCTGTCAATTCCGAATTAACCCTGACGTGTATCGAGAATTGGCTGTCAAGATGGAATCCTCAAAGGCAGTGAGTTACCCTACGGTCAGGAGTGAAATCAGAACTTACAGTTTTGCAAATGACAGAAGACAATACGAAATCAACAACCCTTGGCAGGGTAGAGGACCCAACCTGGTGGTAATGGCATTGGTGGACACCCGAGCCTTCAATGGTGATTACACTCGTGATCCCTTTTGCTTTCAAAAAATGAGCTTGAGTAGTGTCAAGCAACTCTTCAGAGGTGAGGAATACCCGTATGAGACCTTGGAAATCAAGCACGATGGCAATGATTTGGACAATCGAGGCTATTACCGATTTCTTCAAGCTACCGAATGTTTGAGAAAGGATCGAGGAAACATGTTGACAGAGAAAGACTGGGGACACAATAAAAACTGTACACTTTTCTGTTTTAACAATGCAGCCAACGGTGATCTCTTCAGTTCGGTCCTGAATCCGAAACAGTTGGGAGAGATCCGGTACATTCTTAACTTTGGAGCCAATCCAGCAGCTAACTTCACAGTCATCTTGTTTGCCGAATTTGAGAATCTCTTGGAAATCGACAAGAACAAAGCCGTCACCTACGACGTGTATCAGCGTTAACAATGCAAAAGATTGCTCTGACTGACACTCAATTAGACGAACTTGTTGCAAGTCAACCGATATTACAACAGTATTACCAAGGAACTTTTGCCTGTAACGAATTACCCCGGAAACCCGTTAAAGATGGACCAGCTGCCTACATCGTGAACACAGATCCAGCAGGTCGACCTGGTGAACACTGGATCGCTCTTTGGACACAAGATGGAGTGTGTGAAATGTTTGATAGTTATGCGGTACCTTTAGAAGTGTACGGAGAAAAAACAACAGATCCTCTTTATGAATGGTTTGGAAAATGGTGGAAGATGAATGTCAAGAGAAACGCACATGCCCTTCAGTCTCTTACTAGTAAAAGTTGTGGAGACTACGCTTTCTTCTTTTTGTTGAACAGAGCCCAGGGAAAAAGCATGAACGAATTTCAGGACATGTTCACTCAAAGAGATTACAAATGGAACGACAACAAGATAGGAAGAATGTTAAAGGAACTGATAGTGAACGAAAGAAAGTTTCGCGAAAAAGCACGCCAATTTAGACAATCTACCAGACTTCCTACCGGTGTAACTCAGTATTTGTACATGATGTAATGGTTGTAAAATAAAAAACTACCTTATAGTTTACTCTTGAGTTGATGTTCGCGTACTTCGTCAGGGAACAAAAATGGTTCACCAAAATTGACGGTCTTGCAAACGGGACAAAACTGATTAATGGGATGTAATCCAAAATTGGCTTTGATTCGACAACCAAAATGAAACCAACTCCCACAGCAGTGAGTCTTGGTGACACAATGAACACGGTTGGCAGGATTGGGATGCTCGTGATATGCTTTCGAACAGAACAAACAGAATCTGGATTCCCACGGAGGACGATTCATTCAGACTGAAAAAATGAAAAAACATCCATATAAACTCAAAGTGAATGATAGATCTTTCATTTGGAACGAGTGTCAAGTATGGCTAAATGTTCTGCTTTTAAATTTCATACTCCTTCGAGTATCATGTGTGTTGGACCTAGCGGAAGTGGAAAAACGTTTTTTACGACAGAACTGGTCACGAAAAACTTACACTTGTTCAAGAGAAGACCAAAAGCGATTTATTTTTGCTACAGTATCTGGCAACCGAGTTATAACACTATGAAGAAAAATGGTGTGAAATTTTACCAGGGTATTCCAGACACCAAGCTATTACCTAAATGGTTTCCTAAAGGAGGTTTACTCATCATGGACGATTTGATGGAGGAGGCAGGAAACGACAAGAGAGTCTTGGATCTTTTTACCAAGGAATCACATCATCGCGATATTACGGTCATGTATTTGACTCAGGACATGTTTCCTCCAGGAAAGTTTGCCAAGAGTATTTCAAGAAACGCACATTACGTTATCACTTTCAAGAATCCCAGGGACAATGTGGGTTTGCGAAATTTACTGACTCAAGCGTTTCCCATGCGTTGGAAGGAGGTTCTAACCACATACCAACGAATAACCCAAAGACCTTACGGTTACATGGTATTGGATTTTCACCCCAGTTCCTCCGACAATGTGAGAGTGGTGAGTCACCTATTAAATTCAGAAGGTCCTAATCGTTGTTATCAGTTCAAGCAAAATGTTGAGAAGTGAGGACGTTTGGTGGAAGGATTTCGTTTGGGTTTTGACTCAATATAGAGACAAAGGATGTACAAGAAGACAAAGAGTTTTTATCAATTTTGTGTTGTATAAAGCTCGCGGAGTGAGGGATTTAAGAAGAAATATCGCAGAGTACGAAGACAATGTGAAAAGACTCTCACTGCGACGAAAACACATGGTAAAGCGAACAAGAAACGTGATAGAGTATTTAATTAGAGACACGAAGTGGAAACAGTTCATTCGACAGCAGAGAACAACCAACAAAGCTTGGTTTCAACATGTTAAGAAGCAAGTATGAGTGGTGGCCATACTTCATCTTCTTTTTGGAAAAGACAAAAGAGCATTTACTCACGTCACCCTGGGAAATCGGGGTTGTTAATAGAGTACTAGTAGAATGGAACGGTATCAGAGATTTACGTAGATTAATGAACGAGGTAGAAAAAACAAGCGTTAGGTCGTCATTGGATCACATCAATGGATATCCAAATTTGGGTATGAAGTTGAGGCGCGATATAAAGAAAGCCAAGCATGTTGCTGAAATCATTCGTCCCTTTCGTCCCGAGCGAGTGCGATCTCGACTTTTTTTGACATGATGTGTGAATCAACGGTCGACAATTCAAAAACTATTTTGGAAAAATGGTTAGTTAAAAGAGGACCTATCGAGGACGTGTTGAAGGAAATTTATGCTCCTAAGAGCTACCAAATGGGTAAACCACAAGATGGAACCAATACGACTTTGGGTACGTGGTTAGAACAGGGTGTATCTCTCCAAGTGGCAAGACACATGGAGGANACGACGGTAAGGAATTTTACAACAAGACGTTTCAGACCTTCTTGAAGCAAAAGAACATTCACCACTTTTCTACCAGTGGGGATACAAAGGCAGCTGTGGCTGAGCGTTTCAATCGAACTTTGAAAGAACGATTGTACCGTTACTTTACGGTGAAGAACAGTCTTTCGTTTCTCGACGTCTTACAGAAATTAGTAAGTGGTTACAACGCTTCGAACCACAGGAGCATTAAGATGGCCCCCAAGAAAGTGTCGAACAAGAACGAATTGGAAGTGTGGAACAATTTGTACCAAAATCGATTGAGTTCTAAGAAAAGAAAGAGTAAGTTCAAGAAAAACGACAAAGTACGATTGAACAAAAAGCATCGTCCTTTCAAGAAAGGTTATCTCCCTGGATGGACCGAGGAGGTGTTTATCGTCACTCGAGTGAATCGTGGAGTTGTACCTACTTACAAATTGAAAGAATGGGACGGTGAACCCTTGGAGGGTACTTTTTACGAAGAGGATTTACAGAAAGTCAATGTGTCCAATGACGACTTGTTTAGAGTGGAGAAAGTCATCAAGCAAAAGGGTACCAACGTCCTCGTGCGGTGGAAAGGTTGGCCTGCTAAATACGACAGCTGGATTCCTAAGAAGTCAGTCTATGTAAAGGTGTGAATACAATCAGAGTTTTTCATTTGAAGCAAGTATGGAGACAAGTGGGGCAACAAGCGACGACTTTTACCTCACGTTGTTGAGTAATTCTTCGACTCTCGAATTTCCCAGTAACAAGGCGAACAGTTTTCAAAACAGATTACCTCGTCAGATCAATCTGGAAGGACGATGGAAAGCGGGACTCAGTAGTGTTTCGTTACCTGATTCTAGTTTGTTTCACCTCAAATTGAATCCTGACGAACAGGATTTGTTCAGAATAGGCTATTTGGTGACTTCCACGACTGCACCCTCTGGTGCTGTACCTTCTACTCTTAGACACAGTCTTTACAGTCACGCAAAACTGCAAGAGTTGTCTCCAGACGTGAATGGAGTGGAGTTCATGAAATCGGTGACCAATTTTTTTGACGAAGATAGAATTGATGGTCTGGTGGGAGCAGACAATGAAAAGTTTTCTCAAACTAACTCACAAAATCAAGAGGAATCACTTTTCTGGAAGTTCAAGTGGGAAGGAGACGAATTGGTCACAGATAACGAAAATATATACCGAGGAGACCGCTCTTCTTCGAGAGCGGTTCACCCCTACTTTTACATAGAAAAAGACTTGGCCAAAAAAATGGGGTGGATAACAACGGACTCTCGTAGCGTGTATCACCTAGGACCCAACTTGAAGCAAGAACTCTTCGACCCTTACTTGGTTCCGAATCTTCAGGACTCACGTGATCCAGGCGATCTTTAGGAAAATAACTCCAACTCTCCTAATTATCGTCAAGTTGTTTTTTTCACGGGAGATGACAGTTACTATGGACCAGAGGATCACGGTAACATGATGAGACTTAGTTTCAGGTGTAACTGGCGATTCATCAATTTGAATGCAGCTTTCAACAATGCCGTGGGAAGTAGTTCTCGTTCCCTCATGATATACAGTGACGTTGCTAGTAGTTCCTTCGTGGGAAACCAAGTGACCGATTTGTTTCGAGAGTTTAGTTATCAAAGAGTTGGAAAAGGCATTCAATACTTTGAACCGGTTCACATCCACTACGTTCCACTTCGAAAACACACGCTCGAGATTATAAAAGTGGAGGTGAGTGAAGTCGATGGTCAATTGGTTCAACTTGGAGCTGGAAACACAACCGTCACGATTCATCTAGTCAAGCAATGAAAGGTTCTGGATTGACAAGGTTTCATCCCGATCAGGTACAAAAGGGAAGTGGATTCATACAAGATTTTACCAAAGCGGCTGCCTTAGAAGGATGGAAAGGTTTAAAAACGGGTGGATTTCCTTTCGTACCTAACATACCCGGTGCTGTTCGTGGTGTGAAGACAGGAGTTAGAAAAGCTGCAAAACGAAAAGCTGCAAAACGAAAAGCTGACAATTTTGCTGACCGTACTCATAAAAGAGTCAAAAGGAAAATCAAAGACATCTTTGGACCATGAACACCCCATTTCTTCCTCCGATGAATCCCATTTATTCCCGAAGAGTTCTCAGGGTTCCACCTATCATGACTTATGGTAAAAGAGGATCTCAACGAGGTGGAGCCATGAAACGAAACAAACGACGATTGGTGGACAAGATCGCCGAAGGAGCTAGCATGTTTTTGTCTGGTCCTGCACCGTCCTTTGCTTCGTTGGGTTTGAAATTGGGTGGTCAAGCATTCAAAGGAATTAACGATAACTACAAGTATTATAAAGGAAGACAACGAGGTGGTGGATTATCACACCGTAGGAAACGTCGAACAGTGAAGACAAAAGCTAAGAAAGGGCGAAAACGAAGAAGATAGATCATGTCCGACATTGCGCCTCACGCAGGTTCGGCAACAGTGTCGAATCCGTCACTGAATCTCTTTACGATTCCACCGACGGATCTTAGTGTTTACAGTAAGCGATATGTACAAATCAATCCGTTCACCACTGGAATTAATCCAGTGACGTTTCAGATCGATCCTCAGGAAGACTACAT